GAACATCACAACCCAATTTCAAATGCTACCAATCCCAGACCACGATAAGCACCTTACTGACCAGGAGACAACAATAAATAGAATTAAAAAATGACAAATAACAAGCAATAAATGAAATAATAATTGAATTGTACCTAACAATAAAAATGCTAAAAATTTTTGACTGAAAATTCGGCTAACAATAACCGTAACTGTCTCTACTCGGTAAGACACCTGATTATCATCTAACAGCGACAGAGTTCGCAATGAGCTGACAAGTTCTACGGACAATTCGGGACCGTTAAAGCTTTACTAAGCGCTTTTTTCGATGGAAGCCGTTCAGCTGGTAATCTTTCAGAGCACGAAATGAGCGTCAGAATCGCCAGAAATCCGTTTACATGGAGAGAAGTAACTGTAAAGTTTTTCAGCTGCATAACTGGAGAACAGTCCATGATTGCAGCTATTTCAAGTAAATAAGGATAATTAAAAATATTCTAAAATTATGAGAATTGCAATGTTCATTAATTTTACCTGCTCAACTACTGCGCCTACCCAGCTGTGCGGGTAAAGCACTTGACGATCCATAAATATCAAAACTGTAGCATTGTCTTGCAAAATAGACAGCAAATCCTCACTTTTTGCAACGCCATTTAATTCTGAATACAATCAGTTTTTCATAACAGCAAACAATAATAAAGCATATTTTGATTTAAAACTGCTCGCTCTTCCTTCTCCTTGAAAAACTTTGAAAACTCAAAGAGATAAGGCTAATAACAAAGAGGATCAGTTCAACACCGCAGTACCCGCAACGTCTAAGCGTAAGGCTTTCAAAGTGGAAAGTTAAAATACACTTAAAATTCCTTGCCCTATAAAAGATGTAGGCATTTTACAAGTGATTTTAGTGGAAGCACACTGCTAAGAACAGGCTCGTTAGCAAGGCTACCTACTGATTCCTCTTGCAAAACTTTTAAGCAAGCTAAAGGCAGTGTGAAACCCTTTCTTTCCCTCACCAACGCACTAAATGTATCACCAAAAATTCAAAAACGGGAATGACCAGCGATTTGCACAGGAAGCGACGATCCTCTCTTAAACAAGCTTGAATCTTTTTTACTCATGCTGATTTGAGAAAATGGAAAGTAAGCCAAACCTGGGCTGATCCAGCGCAAACCATTCTGCCTAGCTGCTTCGTCTCTGACCCATTCGTAGATTTCAGCATCAGTTAGGTTGTGGTGATAATTAACTATGCGATCCCATGCTTTCATTTGAATCCATGTTTTCGGGATCGGACTTACTGTCGCTGCTAAAGTTGAGTTTGTCACAACGGCGAAACCAACTGTTTCCAGCAAATTCTCTGCAAATATTTTCACAGTTGCATGAGGAATAACAGCAAAAAACAGCAAAGGGAAGCAAGAGAATTAGCATGCAAAATGCGTCTCGTGCTTACAAAATACTGTCGGAAGGTCATGAGATCGTCTCCTGGAGTGGATCTGAGATTCTTTGCAGTGACATAGCGCTTTTGGAAATTTTTAAATGATCAACTTTTCTCAGCACACTTCCTCATGCGAATAATGTCAAAATGCAGAAGTACTAAAAAAGACTGTGGGATACGATTCAACCCGAATTATTTTCACGAAGGACAGAAAAAACAGCAACGGAAGAAATGCAAGGATCACCAGCAGTGATCAGCAAATAATGCAAGACTAGTCATAACAATCAAGAGCAATTACAGTTATTTAAAAAAACCTATTGCTCAAAAGAATCTAGGAGAGGTGGCCTAATGTTGTGTGCAAAAAGTTTTGTTAGATGGCTGAGCCTTTAGACGATGAATAAATCCAGAAAACGCAAGGAAATTAATTTTGTATAACTAACAAACAGGAAACCAAAGGATTGCTGCTGGACTTTTAGGTTTGGCAGCAGCAACGCCATGACACACTTTTTAACTAGATTTACAAATGGCACAAGTTGGTCCATGGGCTTTTTTTAGGATTAATTTTATGGATTTATATATTTTTCCATATTTTCCTCAGATTAATTACACGAATTGCTCGATATTTTAAGAGGATTATTTCTTTCATTCCCTTTCTGAATTTGTTTTTGAAAATCAATTTTTTATTCAAAAACACAATTCTATTCGGTTCATAAAATCCACTTCATAGTATGTCATAAATTTTTTACTAGCAGAGAAATGCAAACATACGATGCTGAAATACATTTAGGGCAGCTTTGATGTACTGTCGAAAATCGTACGAAATAGAAAACGCCACCTGGAAAATCCAGATTATTTTCCTGCCTCTAGAAAAAAACCCCAAAATTAATATTTCAATCCCCGTCTCAGAACATGACGCTTTTAAAATAATCTGAGTTGTAGCACTTTACGGACTGCCATCATCGTTGCGAAAAGACTGTCAACGGTTTCCACTTCCGATGGTTATTTTATAGGGGTACGCTGAAGACGATTTTACCCTTTGGCACGTCAGAGCGAAGAAGTAACAGTTCAATACCAAAACGAATCACAGAGGGGCCGGTTTTACTACACATGGATTTGAACCGATGGCCGAACTGCTTATCACTATCAATACATCGAGCTTAGCTGTTCGCAAAATGCAACACTTTTTGGCCATCCCCAGGTATTTTCGTTCCTAAAAGTGAGACAGAGACAGTCCTGACGCTGACTGGGCGTGAAAATAACGACCAAAAAAAAAAAAATGACAATTGCAAAAATTCACGAAAACCCAACCTCCGAATCAAAGTATGCAACGACTGCGTCATCAAATTCATGCATGAAACTTGACAAGTCATATTCAGTGACAAGACGCCGCACTGGTCTCCTCAGCTTCAATATCCATCTTAATTAATGGATAACGTTTAAAAACATCAGCCCAACTAAAAAAAGCAAGTGAAAACAGAAAAGACAGAGACACCGCTTTTGAAATTTTAGTTCGCACGATGAACAAATAAAAAGCAGAGAGATGCAAAGCAGTATCGCCAGCGAAATGACCATCAGCTGATACAGTTTTGGTCAGAGTAACCATGGGAAGACTGTCAATGACATCGATACTGCGACTGTGTACTGCGCTGGGAAGACATCAGTGACATCTACTCAAGAGTTTTATGAGGACCATTTTCTGGAGCATTTTGATGTTGTCTAGTAAACCTCCGACAAAAAGTTCACAAAATGCTTGGATAGAAATCCAGCATTCATAACTTCTGGATAGTTTACTAGAAATCACAGGAAATAATTAAACTAAAAGGGGCTTATTCATCACGAAAAACCGAAAAAGTGTAGCCGATATTCTTCAAAAGCAAAATGCAAGCTTAGCACCAAAATCTTTTGCGAATAACTGTCCAGTATTTTTGTTCGCTGAATGTTCAATTATTTTCTTTATGCAGGTAAATGTACTGTTTGAGGAACTGAGTGCCATGAGACACATGAAAGCAGATCGTGCGAAGGATGAAGTAGCGTAAATTACTAAAACTGGACTAAACTCGGCGACGCAAAAGTACCGATGCGAGCTGTAAAAAGCATAGATGTATACAAGTACTGCATTTTTTGTTCCTGTGAGGTTTTGGAGTGCAGCATAAGCAAACTAGTTTCCTCTTAGCACCCAGTTTCTTGCTTAGCATCACAAACATGTACAACCATGCATAATTCCCATCCCTATTTCCAATTCTTACCTTCAAGCAAAGTCTTAGCTCCTTTCCAGTCAATATCTCAATCCCTATCTTTTGTTACGGCCTTCTGCGACCTGAACCAGCAACCCTCCCACTTCTACCGCCATCTGGACACTTCCTCAGTCATTGTAAGCCGTTGCTCCAACTGGGCCAAGCTGAGTCGAATATAGTAACTGCTGACAGAAGACGGACAAAGTAGTAAGACAAATGGCATTTACACAAAACTAAGCCTATGTAGAGAAGGTCGTCAGTGCAATGGAAAGGTCCGCTTGAGCATCTAAGATGAAGTGGTGTGCATGCGGCAGGCTCAGATTTGAAGAGGAAGATTGCCAACATTGCATCGACGGCCAAAAGAAGCAGGATAATGAAACTGTTCATGTTTTGAGTATTAAAATAAGTAAAAGTAAGAGTAGGCCATTATTGTGTTCATTGGTAGAATAAATCAAATCCAGAAAGAGGCATTTTACATGCTAATGATTTTACGTAAAGTGGTGGAATCAGAGATATCGACTGAAATACGCGTAAGTGGGATAAAATCTAACCGATAAATGTAATCGGAGGCCAATAATCCAGTATACACAAGACTTTGCTGTCCAATATACGCAACAATAACTGGAAACGTGTGAGTTTTGTAGGTTTTCCGGCACCTCCCATAACGATAAAAACAGTTGACCGCCGAGAATGATATCTGCAGAGAGTTATGTGTATAATTTTATAAATTACATGTGAACTAAGCAGGACTTCACCGAAACTGCCCAAAATGAATGTGTACTCAGTTTTCAGCCAAACACCGCGAGTCAAAAAGAACACATTTTGGCGCAGGTTTCATAGCCTTCAAAACACTGAACATGACAAACTCCTTGTTGAAAGCACTGAATTGTTTTAGTAACCTTGACAATGCATGGTAACAATAACACCCTTTTTAACACAGTAATTACTATCAGCACACGATCACAGGCTAATTTTCGTCAGATAAGTCCGATGAGGAACTTTGTTGGCATTTGCTGCTGTTTGCGAAGCAAAAATGGATATCACGAGGCCAGTAGCGCTGTAAAATTAGGCTTACGTTTCGCTAAAAGCACTTGCGAGCAGAATTCGGAATTATCGAAACTTTCCCAGAGATTAATAGTATAAACTTGTGAGTTGTTGAATTTAGTATACAGTTTCCACCAAGGTTGCGGGAGAAAAATTACAACATGGTACCTACACAAGAAAAAAGATAAACTTTACTATGCAGCCTCATGTGGCGAACGGAACCTGGACACTGGTCAAAAGGGTCCGAATCCTACATCTTCGAATCGTGATTAAGAGATGAAGAAAGGAGGAAGAGGAAGTGACAGGTGAAAAAGGAGCCTAGAGACAGAGTACATACCGGAATGAGTCTGGTAGTGCACGAAATAATGAACTCAACACTCAAAAGAACAGAAAATTACATTTCCCTTTCTGTACGAAGCAAGGGCGGCTGCCCGAAGAAACCAGAGTGGTAGTACAGTGCAAACGAGGATGGACCGCAGGTAAGACAACAGACAGGTTCCTAAGAAGCAAGTTGATTGGCACGTACCAGTATTAAGCCTTCAAAAAAAAAAAAAAAAAAAAAAAAAAAAAAAAAAAAAAAAAA